ATCCGCACACCATCGGCCAAAGAGGATCGTGGCTCTGACTTGACAGCTCCGGGCTTGCGCGAAGGTTTTTGGGCGCCGATCATTTCTGGCTCCATTTCTCTTTGCGAAGGATTGATGGCACAAGGTAAAGTATGTGTTTCTCAAGCTGGATGACATCCAGGGGCTCAAATTTGCGGGTAATTATTCCCCTTTCAAAGATTTTAAGCACGTATCTCTATATATATATAGCATCTGTCCTTGCACTGATTTTTCAGTGCTCGTGTTTGTTTCTAACAACGGCATCGTTCTTTGCAGGGACAGATTTGCCTATGTCATAGCGAGCTCGCCGATTCAGGGGTACAACGAGCTCACCACAATAAAGGTTCCTTACTTAGGGATCCAATTCTTAACTCAGGTTTTGGAGTTATAGTATTTTCTGGCCGATACCTCGGGTTGTCCCTTTCGGGTTCCTTTCAAACCCCATTAATCATACTCCCCTACAGATTCGCATGGAACCCAATGCGGATTTCCTTTATCAACCAGGAGGATACCTGACGGTACATCTCGCTTGCCCAAAGCCGACCTGATTCACCTTTTGGTTGCTTTGGCCCAGTTTTTGTCATGTCCCCAAAAGCTGATCACCTTTTTGTTCCAGACCCTTTGGGCCACTGAGACGTGGTCAGCTTGGATTTCCTCCCCCAGTGGGAGGTTTTGCTCTTTGTGTGGCGTGCGCAGGAGCCGTGCCTGACCCCGGAGCTGCCTTGCGGCCGGCGGGGTTGGCGCGGCTGGTACTGCGGCTACTATGGCGCCCACTTTGTGCAGCCCGGCGCGAGGAGTCGAGTGGGGCTCGAGGCAATCAATCTCCGGGATCTGACCCTTTGTCTCAGGTTTTTGGTATGACACCCTGGGATTACACCCTTGAGAAATGACCCAGAATGGTTCAAAATTACACGGTGTTATCCGGAAATATGGCTAAATGGGGTCAATACCCAGCGGGTGTATTCCCAGGGCGTAATACAAAAAAACAAAACCTTAGGTGTTTGCTTGTTTTTTTGGCTCGGTGCGCTTTCAGTCATGGCAGCCCATGGGGCAGCGAGAACACGGTGAAGCTGAAGATGCCCATTCACATAGGAGTGTGTGTTTTGCCGATAATTACCCTTCTTGGCGTTGTTCTGGAAGGTGGGAGTTCAAAGGAACCGCCCGACTTTGGCGTTCCCTCACTTGCAGACATGTCGTTGCCCACATTGCAGTTGCGAGCTGCGTCAAAGTCGTCTCTTCGGGAGAGCAGCAGTGCACGTAAGGTACTGGGCCTACTCTCAGAAGATCGCGCCTTTCTTCTTCTTTACTGGGAAGCTTGGCCAGCTAACAGGAAGGAGAGAGACAGAAAGTCACACAAAGCACGTGTCAGTTGGCATGCTTTTAGCGAAGAGTGAGCTTTTAAAGTTACAAAGCCTGGAGTTGCAGGAGACCGAGTCAGGTGGCGGGGGGTGAAAGAAAGAGCTGGCGGAAAAGGGCGGCTCTTTGCACCGAAGATCGCCGCCTAGAATGTGGAGACAGCAGAGAGATTTGTAGGTTCCACCGCGCGGGCAACTGACAAATGGGTATGGGTCAAAATTACACCACCAGGATATGGACCGCAGGTTTTAGTCTACTTTTCCATTTACCAGGGCAAGCCATTTTGGGCACTTATTTTTGGACGGTCTATTGCTGGTTTGAAGACGACATGGTAAAGTGCCCCACCGCCGCAGCACCGACCTCCCCGCACCCGCGAGACGGGACAAGGATCAAGTTCCAGCTCCACCGGATGAGTGGATCCATCAGAGAGGGCTGCTTGGCTGAGACCATCAGCTTGACCTCAGGCCATCAGGCGGAAGAATCAGCCCTCGCTCTCACATGTTTGGTCCTAAGTATAGTGCCGCATGCCGGGCGAACTGGTTTTGCTTTGTGCCATGGCCATTTGTGCTGGAAACCTCAGGCTGGCCTTGATTTGAGTCGGGAAAACAGGGGGGTTCTCCCTCCCCATTGGACTTCTTCGCAAGTGGAGCTCCAGAGCTGCTGGCATTGAATCATAAGAGGTTGCTCTCAAATGAGTCACTTGCTCAAAACCGACTCGGGTGCTTGGACTTCTGCACTTCGGGTGGGTTTGGAGGGCATGTTTCTATTGCAAGCCATGAAGTCTGACCCAATCAGAAATCGATACTTCTCATGTTGAATGTTTACTTTGTATCAGCAATGACATCTCACTTACAATCATATTTGCATCATCTGATGACAGATAACTTTTGGATTATTATTTTTAGGTTTACGTGCGACATCAGATATTGATTCAGCATATTTTAGTGTTGTCTTTGTAATTAGAGATGACAACATGATCTTCATTCCAATGGTGGAGTGTTTCCCTCTTCCGGTCGGTGTTCACCGGAAGTAGCAAGGAGCGAAGCCGTTCTCAATGGCGGAATAGCTCTATCTTGAGCTCCCACAGACTCTTTCTTGAAATCCCCCAAGTTCAAAGGGAAGCAACCCCAAGAACTCTGATTCTAGCTGCCAGAGATAGGTTTGCTATGGGCCGACCGAATGGGGAGCAACCCTCACACTGGGGCTGACCATTTCAACACGCACAGGGGGGTTTACATACCCTCCCACCAGTCAACATGGAACCTGGCGTTCGGAACCCGGTCCCTTCAGAAGGAAAATGGCCGTTGAATGGGCCTCAGGGTCAAGTTGAAGCTGAAGGGACCTCCCTTCAGTGACTTTTGCCAAAAGGCAAGGGCTGGATCCGAACAATCATAAGTGTCCTATTGGTTGTTTTGGTAGAAAAATAGATGGCGATTCTTGGTTTACCTGGTGGTTTCATCATCCACCAGGGACATGTGTTTCCTCCAAAAGGACACCTCTGCGAACCATCCCCTCCGCTTGGCCTCTCCGAGGTGTGATGCGGCCCTTGTTTCAGGGGCTCCGCACTGCCAACAGCTCGGTGAAGGGCGTGGTGGATCTCACCCGCCAAGCCAGGCGACTGGTCGGCCGGTCGGCCGGGTTCCGGTTGGGCGTTGCCCTCCCAGCCGTCTCTCAGCTTGGCTCGTGTCTTTTTTTGGTTCTGCCCGCCTTTCTTCTCCATGGTCTTGTTTGAGAGTTGGTGGTTTCCTTCATATGTTGTTTCTTCTTTGTTTTTTGTCTATTTGGTTTCCAACCCTTCCCATTTGCTTCCTTCATAATATGACCTTTCAAGTGAACAAGTGAACAACCAGACCTGCGTGAGAGAACGCCATGCGGCTGTGAAGGGATATGATATGGGTGTCTGTTTTTGAGGCTCTCCCTTCTCAGTTGGTTCTAAAGAGAAACCAACAGTTGGGGGAGTGTTCCCCGAAACGAAGACGCCCAATATATAGAAGGGACAGGCTCCGGATCCATAGACTTCCCTCGTTTCGGCGTTTGAACGCCAGGTGTGTGGTGGGGGATCCGCTGGTGTGCAACGCGTCGCAGCACGGCCGCGCACGTCGGAAGCCGCCCAAGTCGAAGTGCTGGGGCGAGTCACAGTGCCTGGAAGTGAGGATTCGAGATTTGGGCGCGTGTGTTTCTAGGGAGCCAGCTTTTTGGTTGGAGGGGAAACCAACGATGTGGTTTTGGTACATCACTCACTTCCTGGGTTCCGCTTTGGATTAGAATTACTTTTTGGAAGTGTGGTTGCCGTTTTAGGTGGTAAGCAACCAGTGTGATTTCTTCTTTTGGCCAATCCACTCAGGAAGTGAGACCACACCTTTTGGTTGAAAGCAAGTCCCTTTGATTTTGGAGGGGGTACCTCTGCTTTGAGAAGAACCCAGTAGGCGATCCAAAAGGTCCAAGCCTTCATTTCGAACAACCCGGAAAATGGACACCGGGATGGTAGTTGGTGGATCATTCGGGATGAAAAACATGGGGGCGGACTAGCCACTCCCGTCCTCACCCAAGGGACCTGATGGGCCTATCTGACCTATCTGTTTTGAGGGTAAAGGGAAGCCAAATGGACACCGAAGCGAATTTTAGGGGTTCCATATTTGCGGACCAACCCAACTCGCGGGTTTATCAGGGTACTGCGCGTGTTTTGTCATACCTCAAGTGAGGCTCTGAATGAGTCGGGGCCTCAATGAAGGCAGACAGTTGAGGCGGAAAATCATGGACCTGGTTTCCCTTTCGCAAGAAATTAAGACAAGCAATTCATGATAATTCAAGTTTTGCTGGAAAAGTAATACCTTTTTAGAACTTTTCTTCATGGTAGGTTTTTTGCCCTTTTGTGATTGGGCTCGGTTCGTCTTCAGCAGGTGGCACCATGCCAAGGGTTGTAAAGGCAGTTTCACTGGGACCGACCTTTGCTAGAAGGTGCCCTTTTTAGTTGGGCTGCGCCGCAGCCGACGTGCGTTTGAATCTGAGGTTCGTGAAGGTGAATTCGCGGGAGAACCCGAAGGGCAGCGCGCTCTGGGTATGCAAGAACCAGCTCGACGTGGACCACAGCAAGTTGTGCCACCTGTAGCCCAAGTTGGGTGTGTCTTGTTTTGGAGCTGGCACCCCTGTTTGGTGGTTGGTAAACCAACAGGAAAACCACCATTGTGGCGGTCTCCTAAAAAAGACACACCCAGTAGCTTTGCCCATGACGTGGCTTGAAGCTTGCAGAAAAAAGACGAGGGCCCCGTGAGCGAGCGCCAGACTTTGCTTCAGTGTCTCCCCGGTCATCCCCCAACACCTTCCGCTTCCCTTATTCCCCAATCACCCCAAACCAAAACAGGCCAAGATAAACCAACACGCGCCAACATCACTCCCTTCCAGCCTTCCAGGACCAGCTGCCCTCACTTCTGCCAAAACCTTAAACCCCCAGAAGTCTGCGAAGGCTCAAGGAAAGTCAACCTTAGATGACAGAAAGGCCACTTGTTCCAGGTCTCAGTGCATTCGGGAGACTGCTAAAATCCGTTGCTTGCCCAGGAGAAAAGCCGAATCCAAAGCCGAAGCCACGGGGCATCCGAGTTTTCGGTTTTTTCGGACGACGTCGCCAGGTGGAGCGGCCTGGGCCCCTGGGAGGTGGTGGCCCTGGGCTCCGCGGGCGGCGCGCTGGGCGCGCTGAGGGCCTGCAACGAGCTGCCGGCGGAGGCGCCGCCCAGCCCGGAGCTGCTGGTCTGCTCCAGCATGACCGGCTGGGAGGACCCGGCAGATGGCAAGGTCTTCCATTGGCTTCTGAATGTTGTTGATTTCCCCCTTTTGATTTTAAAGCTGGACATATTCTCATTTTGTCCAGGGGACTTAAGCAAATGGATGGGGTCGAAGATATGGCAATTGGGAATCATGGCAAGTGGAGGTTAGTGGGAGATAGAAAGTTCAGACTGTTTTTGGTGCATCCAGGAAGTCAGGACACCAAAACACCATAGGAGAAGGAGAAGGAGCTGACTCTTTTTCAGGGTTGAGGTTGACCTTGCTTGATTGATAGTTTGCTTGCTTTGGTTATTTCGATCGCTTGGTTGTTTGTCTGCCTGCCTTCCTGCCTTCCTGCCTGCCTGCCTGTTTGTTTGTTTGTTTGTTTGTCGGGGTCTCTGTCTGTCTCCTTGTTTGCTTGCTTGCTTGCTTGCTTGCTTGCTTGCTTGCTTGCTTGCTTGCTTGCTTGCTTGCTTGCTTGCTTGATTGCTTGCATACGTTTATTTGTGTGTTTATTTGTTTGCTTGCTTGCTTGCTTGTTTGTTCATTCGTTCGTTCGTTCGTTTGTTTGTTTGTTTGTTTGCTTATTTGTTTGTTTATTGGTTTCGTTGCCTCTCTGTTTCTCTTTTCCTTTGTTTATTTGCCTGTTTCTCTGCAGCAAGGTGCGGTTGGACATGTGATTAACCTCAAAGCGGGTTGAACCTACGCCCTTGTTCTGCTTGGCGAGGGGAAATCGAAAGGACACTGCCAACTCATTTGGCTTGACATTTTGGAGGCAAGCCCGCAGCTAAGACTGGACGTCAGACCGAATCAGGGAAAAGGTCGTATGAAAGGTGTGTTCTTCCGTATTTAGTTGACTGATGTTGCCAAAGTAGCATGATTCATACACAACTGACATCTCAATGTTGGCCCAAATCAAGCAGTCAACCCGATGTATCGTAACTCCTATCATGGCGATAAATCGGAATGATGCAAATTCGAACTCGAAGGTGGCACATAATGTCAGGAACGATTTAGAGCTCTAGAGAACACGGAAATGACATGGGAGTGACAGGGGGAGAACACAGGAATAACCTGATAATGGGACCTTTCAGCATGGATTCAACATTGTATTTGACGTATTTGGAGGGTGCCTATGTCATTATTTCTCAGTGCCACGGAACGCGACACGTAGTACGGCTTGACTGTCATGGATATGTGGAAGACGTGCCAAGTCTCAAAGACATTGCCAAGCTGGAATCCGATCAGAACCGATTGAATTTCGGACGTTTGGGGCGTCAACAGGTCGGTGACTGCCGTTCGGAGACGTATGTCCAGCAACAAGTCAGTTATCTGTTGGTCAAGAACCAGCTGCGCTGTGTGTCGAGCTCGAAAACCAGGCCTACCCGTGGGGTATACCGCTGACGTGTTTTGTTGCACCCCAAGCTCCTCCTCAGCATTCTCTGCATCACCTGCACGCAGGCCGGCCCAAACATCATTTAACCCCAAAACATCCCCGGCATCCCTGGCCTTGCGACGGGCTCCGCATGCCACCTTGCCCAACCTTCAAAAAACACTGTAATTAACGTGCAAACGGCCCCCGACAGTCGCCAGCATCCCACCAACATCCTCTGCATCCTCGCCAACTTCACCCACATTCCCAGCATTTCTGCGTCACCAGCATCTGGGCTTTGCAGCATCCCTTGCATCCCTTGCATCCTAGGTTTTGGCAGTCGGCAGACATGGTGGATAGCAATCATGGAGCAGATGGGAGGGGTAATTCTTTTCGCAGTCACCCAATCCGTGCTCTGGAGGACATTCCGGCGAACATCCACGCCATTCTGCTTCCTGCAGGACAGGCAGTTGATACATTGTCTCACGTCGCCATCCGCGCGCGAAACCAAGAGGCACGCCGGGCTTGATCTGCTGGATCAAGGAACGGGATGGGCCAAGTTTGGGTCTTGACCTGAGACATATCAGGATCCCCCTTAAACATTTTTTGTTCTTTCTCCCACTTCAATTTCATTTTGAGTTCAGGAGGCTTTTTTCTCAGCGCGGAGGTTGCTCCGGCGCAACTCAGTCTGCCAGGTGCTCTTGGCCTCCTGCGATGAGGAGGCCCAGCTGGATCAGCTGCGAAAGCTGCAGGGTCAGAATCTCAAGCTGCAGGCGAGCGCCGCGGGCCGTGGTTGGGGGGTTCTCCCAAAAGTTCCTCGGTGCCCCCTGGTTGGTGGTTCTCTGGTTGGTGGCCAGAATCTCGGTGTGCTTTTTGAGGTTTTTTGCTTTTCCCTTCCAAAAGAAAGAGAATTACTCGGCGCCCCCCCTTTTTGGCGGTTCTCTGAGTTTGGTTGGTGAGAAGAGCACCCAAGAAGACCAGTTGGTTTCCGTTGGTGTGTTTGCCTCAGAACACAATATGGCGCGCTTATGCTATCATGCCAGGATTGGGTTGTCCAAGCCTAAACAAATGATATCCCCATCCAGCCAAACCCTCTTTGCACCCTTCCGGAACCCTCTCTCCTTCGCTGCCAACCTCAGAGCTCGGGGAGACCCAACGCTTTCAGCTGCGAACAAATGCAAACCGAAGCCGATGGTTGAATATTGTTCTAGGTATGCAGACCAAGCAAGACCAAAAAACCATTGGGCTTTTACCCGCATGGAAGAGGTGTCCTTTGATTTCCCAATTAAAACCACCCCAGAAAAGGGCACTCTGAAAACAAGTTGCGCATCGAAAGGCACATCAACAGGTTCCAGATTTGGACAGCCGAGGCTCAACATGCTCAACCAAGAAAGAGTCAACTTCAACCCCCTGCGAAAAGCAGCCTGACACACCAAACAGAGGGGGCAATGCTATCTCAGCGATTTCTTCTTGTGCCATCTGAGCAGTTCTTTCTTTTGCACAGCTCTCACGATCCAGGAACGGTCACGGACTCTACCCCCCCCCAATTCGTCTTGCTTTGAACGCAGTTGAACTACCCCGCTAACCATGTCCGACACAAGGATCCGAAGGAAAGGTGTCCCTGAGAACAAGCCAGTGGAGTCATTGGAAGGGAATGTTCAAGCACTGAAACCTCAAGTTGCAATTTCCGAAGCCTTTTCGCAAGCTTCCAGGAGCCTTATACCCAGGAGTTTGGGCCAAAACTCAAGAAGGCAAAACTCAAGCACCCCTAAAACCAACCTCCTGACGAGTTTACCGCCAAAAAAGGGCCAAACCCAAACACCTATGGCTTTGGGATTGAGGGGGCATTCCAACTCATTCCTGGAATCTGAGAGCCAGCAAGTTCTGTTGTCAGTTCCTCATATATGGATGTGTGTGTGTGTGTTTTTAGAGTTGGTACCCTGCACCCTTTTGAGGTTGGTTCAAAGCGAAAGTGCTTCCAGTTGTCACACGGTAGGCAACCCTTTGGCATTTGTTAACCAGGAGGGTTCGCAAAATGGCGGACCCCCTTTTTGGAGGGTTCTCAAAGGAAGCAAAAGAAACCTGCCATACAATGGGAGTCCTCCAATTTTGAGAACCTCCAGGAAGGTGTCTGGTTTTGGTGTTTCCTTACCAGCTGGCTGGCTTGACGGTAGGGGTGGTCGCCAGGTCTCAGCCACGGGGGAAGTCACCTGGCAGCAGAGCTCCGAGAAGTCGCAGCTGAAGAACACCTCCGCCAACGCCTTCCTGGCGGAGCCGAGATCCGTTTTTCCTCGTTCGGGGGAAGGAAAAACATCGGATGAGGGAGGGGCGTCAACCGAAAAACCTGGCGAATAGGACCATTGTCGGCCCTGGCCCAGTACTTCCTTAGTTTGCTTTGTAAAGAAAGGTAACCAGGAAAAAATATCGGGTTCAAACCACCCATTGAAACCAAGGAGGTTGATATAACCACCATGATTGACCTAAAGAGGTTCATCATCTAAATTGGGGCCGTTGAGGTCTGCGATGTTTGACTTGGTGCGATGGGCAGGGAATGAGACATGGAATGACCATCACCTATGGTTTCCTTTATGGGAATACCCTGGGTCAGGTTTGATAGGCAAGGAGAAATGGAATTACCAACCCAGAGAAACCATCCATCCGATGTGCTTTCCAAGGGAATCTCCAAAATCCGGTTCATTCCAAAAGCTCGGACTCGGTGATTCCCTACTGAGCACCAAAAAGAAGATGGGTGGGGTGGTTTCCCTTTGCAAACCTCAAGGGGTCCAACAATTAAACATATGTGTCAAACATGCGCGGTTTCCCCGGCCCTGTTTCCGTGTTCTTTATGACGGTGTTTAATCAGTTTGGGTGAGAATTTTAATCAGACACCATCTCCAAAGTCGCCACCAAATTGATGTCCACCAACAGATTCCCTAGTAGAAATCCTACTCTGTGCAACATGTTGCAGATGACAGTTCCCCATGTTTGGTTTTTGACCTTGTTTGACAGCTTTGTGTGATAGTGTTTGCCCTTTGGCAGCTCCCCTTCTGGCACTTTTCCTTGTTGATAGGACTCCCTGGCAAAAAAGCAACGCGGTTTCTACATACTTCTAGAGGGTGACTCGGTGACTCCAACTTGACTTTTCAACTGCAAAGTTGGACAAAGAGGCAAACAGGAACTGACCGTCCCTTGAGACACACCTGAAAGGGATGGTTTGCCTGAAAAAGCGCCCTGGGACTTCCCGCACCCTGTGATTCCATTGCCACTAGTAACCAACGGGCTTGCCCCCCTTCCAGAAAGTTCCAAAAGGAACCGGCGGGTTGGAACGCCTCAAAAGGAGCGGCTCGGATCGGCCGCGTAGAGGAGACCATGAAGCCGCCGCCCGCGGCTCCGGCGATTGTGCTGCCGTCCTCGGACTTCAAGAAGCACAACAAGTGCATAGGAGGCCACCGCTTGCGTCCCATCCGAGAGGTTCAGGGCTTTCGGGGGGTTTTAGGGGGAGAAGACGTCCAATCCTGAGGTCAATGATTCCGAACCTTTGGGTGTGGCTCAAAATTAAGCAGGGGCAAACCGCAGGTTTTGGTCCATGCTTCCACTTACCAGGGCCAGCCATTTTGGTACCGGCTTTTTGAGGCACAGCCAAATTTCGAGGTTCAGGGCTTTCGGGGGGGGTTTAGGGGGAGAACCAATCCTCAGGTCAATAAACCAGGCGAAACGCAGGATTCCTCGCACGCAAGTCGGCCGGAGAAAGAAATGGGATGCTTATCAAAGCAAACAAGGGGACACCGCCAACTGATTGGTTTCCTTGTGTTGTGTCCTTCAAAACCAGACCAAAAAGTCGTTCCCCTACTTTTGAGGCAGACCTAAATGCCAGACGTGGTCTCGGCAAACGTTGCAAGTTACATGCGTTTTCGCATCCAGAAGGCGCCACGGGTTGACTTGGAAGTCGGTGCTTCCTTCAGGCAAAAGTCTTCACCTGGCGGAGCTCGCCAGCGATGGCACGTGCGCATCTGATTGCATGCGAGTACTCGTGCGGGTGGAATTTCCGCCGCGAGGTACGATGTGCCCAAGAGCGCGACCATTCCATACGGCGCCTGGTCGTTTATTTTGGGCGAGTGTGCAGGCGATACCTTTCAGCCTGGACCCATGTTGCCTCTGAGTCACGGGTCAGCTTGTGGTGAAAGGGTCCGTATGCAACGTTGAGAAGAGTGAGCCTCGCGTTCCAGAAGGACTTTCCCCACCGGAAGACAGCATTTGCACCCGCACCCCAAGGCAACGCATGGCCACAAGTTTTAGAAACTTGAGGCACTGTGTGCCTTGCTGCTGTTGCCTGCATCGCCTGAGGCATCTTTGAGCAAGTGCTCAAGGACCAGGCGGGGTCTGATCAGACTGAAGACCTGGACGCCACGGAGTTTGGAAAGTGGGAATCCAGCACTTGGGATCGGCGCGACTGGAGTCCCCTTAGATGAACCCAGAATGAACCCAGCAAACGTACCAGTCGGATGGTTTTTTTTCGAAGGGGGGAAGATGCATCTTCCATTTCTCATTCCCTGAGCACCAGCAAGATTCAGCGGAACCTGGATTGGCCATGAGGGAATCCTTCACAGCTACCCCAATGCGGTCGAGGTGCGTCTGGCACTTCTGCCAGGGTTGCCAGGTTCAGCGTCGGTTGCCAGGTGGGTCAAAAATAGGTTCCCAAAATGGCTTGCCCTGGTAAATGGAAACATGGACTAAAACCTGTGATCCTCTGGGTGGCTTAGTTTTGACCCATACCCAGGTCCCCCAGCCCTGGGTATCGCAACCAGTGCCCACCTGGAGGCTTGCCCCGCACGCGACTTGTTTGGATCGATGGATGTGCGACAGGTCAACGAGGGCATTGAACAAGAACTCCAGGAGACCGCCGACAGATTGGCTTGGAATTGAGGCCTTGCGCTTCGAGAAAAGGGCTTTCTTGAGTTGCTGTCCTTTGGTTGGGTACACCAAAAGGACACCGCCAAAAGTTGGAGGAGTGTTCCAAAAACTTTGGTTCTAAAGAGGAAGCCCAAACGCACACCACCAAGTTCTTGGCGGGTTTCATATGGCTCTGGCTAAACAATTTTTCAAGAGCTAGGGTTAGTGTTTGGTTTTTAGTGGTTTGATCCATTTCCGCAGGGGCCATTTTGCTACATGGGTATGGGTCAAAATTAAACCACCAGGACAAAAGGTTCTAGTCCTTGTTTCCATTTAGGCAAGCCATTTTGGGTACCCATTTTTGACCCAGGCCCACATTCGCTTGAGCCGCAGCAATAGGTGTCCTTTTTGGTTGTTTTTAGACAAATAGATGGCGATTCCTGGTTTACCTGGTGGTTTAATCCTCTAAAAGGACACCTATGGCCGAATCCCGTACCCCCAGTGAACATCCCAAGCCCCACTAAAATGGGTTCTAAAATGGGTGGTGCACCCAATCCCCAAAATGGATCCCATTGGTTTTGACCCACATTTCTTTGCGCCGCAGCTATAATGTTTGAGAACCGCGTCGAACCCACGCCTTCCCAGGAGATCGTCGCCGAGGGCAACTTGGCGGAGGCCCGGCAGTTCCTGGAGGACGAGCTGGCCGCTTGGCCTCTGGCAGGTTCGGAAATGGGGCCAATTTGGGGGAGACGCACTGAAATACGAGGGTTGTCTTTAAAAAGGTGATGTTCTGGACGGTCTGTCAATTTCTTTGTTGGAGTTGGTACCACTTGTTGGGGCGGTTAAAGGGAAACCAGCCAAAAGGAAAGCCAAGAAAGTTTGGGGTGGGGGTCCCCTGAAAGAAGCCAACAGGTCTTTTGAAAAAGCCAGCAGGTCCCCTAAAAAGGACCCGTGTCTATGTGTTTGTTCTCCACCTCCCGTGCCTCGTTTTCTTTTCCGCTAGGTGGTGCCCGACACCATCCGGCCCGCGCTGGACGCGGCGCTGGGCGCTTCGGCGAAGGCGCTGGATGCCGGGGACTGGCAGCGGGCCCTGAAGCGCGTCTGGGCGTCCAAGTGGACGGCCGGGGCCCGAGCTGTGCGTGCGAGCACGGTGCAAGGGGCTTCGGTTCTGTTCGGGACGCGGAAAACAAGAGAAGAAGCAGCGCGGGTTGGCCTTTTTGCGGGAAGCAAAGAACAAGTGGCTCGTCTTTTGTTCAGGGTGCCTTTTTTCGATTGGTGCCAAACATAGGGGGTTTGTGTCGAAGGGATGAGACAGCCCCCCTTGGATGCGGACAGGGGGACAACAGGGCGATCTATGCTGGTTGAAGCACACAGGAACATAGCAGTCTTCCAAAACGGGCTGCACTTGCCTTGGGTCTTAGCTGGTTTTTGTGTCAAAGTGTGAACTTGGACCCCAAGCATGGGTCCCGTCTTCCTTTTCGTTTCCCAAACCAGCCTTAAAAGTTAAAAGGGTGACTCAAAAAGACACGCACACACCCATTTGGTCAGATCTTTGGACATATGTATTTTCTCACTACCCTGAGAGTGTTTCACTTCCTTGGCCACTGGAGGGTTTTCTTAGCTTTGGGTCAGATGTCGACCCCTGACAGAATTGGCAACGTCGGTTTGGTATGCGTCGCCAGTTAGAGTCGTCGTTCAACTTTGGCAACATCGTTTGGCAATCGAGTCGCATTGACAGCGTTGCCAAACGATGTTGCCAAAGCTTGGTTTCAAACTGGAAGTGACAGGCTTCCAAGATGGTTACTTTACAAATTGGCAGATACCTACCATGCTTTCCGTTTTGTAGGTTTCTGCCAATTTTCTGGTCTTGTAGGTTACTTACAAATGGTTTCCTGGTTTTGTAGGTTTCACCATGCCAAGCTCATGGAAAGTAGCATTTTTCACGAGCGAGGAACTTGTATAACAGAGGCCTTCAGAAGGCCTGGGTTGCATGAGCCATGGTCGAAGTAGCCCATTGATTTGGGGGTTGTTTTCGGGGTGGTCATGGATCCCTTAACAAATTTTAGGCAACCATGATCTTAGGATTCCGGTTCAGGGAACCATGATCATGACCCCTATATGAGGAGCATGCCGCATGTGGGTGAGAGTCACTGGGACCAAACTCAGGCCTGATCCCCAATATTGGGTTGACTTGGGGTTGCCATATGTTCAGCTCATCTTGGGTCCCTCTCATTTGTGTCCGAATTTCTGGGTCCGACTTGGCCCGTTTGTTGGGCTAGTCGCCTTCGGTCGCTGGCTGAATTTTCAGGATCGGGCCGTCGCCAGTCGGAAGCAGATGAAGGTGCCAGACAAGGCGGGTGATCGATCCATCGGGTGTGGTGTGCCGAAAATTGGGTCACCGCAAAATGGTTGGCACGCGCTAAATGGAAACAAGGACCAAGAATCCTGCGGATTTCCCATATGGTGGTGGTTTTACCCAGTTGATGGAGAAGGTGTGGGGCCCCTGGCAGTTGATGATGGCTTTGTTCGATTTGACGGCACCTCAAAAACCGGGTAGATGAAGGATAGTAAGGGACAGTCCCAGCCAGAAATGCCAGAAGTAGGCGCGCATATCCGCCTTTCAATGTCCTTCATGGATTTGGTCAGACCGTTGTAATACCACGTTTTGATTGTGACTCATTTGCAGAGTATTTGAACGGCAACAGAGTTTCCACTGCATGGGGGTATGTAACCTGCGTCTTTTGCGGCAGCATAGTGGTTACATCCCCAGATTTGTCAGTGGCTAGTGGCCAAGCCGAGCAAGCTGAGCAACAGATGCTTGGAGCATGTTGCACCAGTGTTCCACTTGCGAGAAGTGCATTGGCGAGTTCACCTGCCGTTTGGCAGGCACTCTACTTAGCCGTGCTCGTGCAGCCTCTGGTGCACGCGCGGTGCGCGAGTCGCGAGTCGTGAGTTGCAGCTGAAGTCCCTTCTTAGCTTCCATTGCTTAAGAATACTTTTGTTGCTGATTTCCCTTGTTCCCTACTGGACAATTGTTTAATACTGTTTGCCAGGGCTGAATCACATGGAAGTGAGCGCTCAGCCTGAAAGCGGCACTTAAGCGCTCCCACAGGTACGCCTTTGTGATTCATACACGATCTCCGCTTCCTGGCGCGAATAAGGAGGAGGCGGGACGGCGGGCCGAGCCCGGATCTGTTCAGTTGCTTTGTGGTTTGCTTGAGAGAGGCCGTCAGCCCCAACCCCAATATCTGTGAGTTTTTCAGATGGAACATGGTCGCGTGTTGCTGGCGCAAGCCCTTTGAACGTTCCACAAGCCGGGATTTGGAGGACACTCTTGGCAAGTGAAAGGAACCCACCCGCCGGCCCCTTTTGCATCCAAATCTTTCCCCATTTCAGCCAATCTGCTCGGGTTTTTAGCCCGGGTTTTTCCGGGCTCCGAGCTGAGAGAAAACAGCAGGGATTCTGAGAGGTTGCAGCGATCCGGAATTTTGTCTCTCAGACTGCGAACTCCAATCAACAGATATGTTCAGCAAGTGAGGTCAGCCTTGTCTCGCTCTCCAATGGTTTGGAGCAATGCTCCAGATATGTTTATCAATGGGTTCCCATCACTGCTCCGGTCAATGGATTGGAAGTGGAACAGGCCAAGGTTTTGCCGTTCGGAGCAACCCATGTTTTTACCTGAAAAGTGTCCTTCTACTACCTGAGATTGGAGAAATCGGGGGACTCGCCCCTTAATTAATTGTCTGTTGTAAACTGGATGCGGCACAACTCGTCGTTTGGCCCTCATGCCTTGCCATTTTGGCAGCACCCTGTAGCCCCTGTTGATTTTAGCAGCCCATTTGGGGTTCATCCTTTCGGGGTTTGAACTCTAGTGGATTCTCTTGGCTTTGTCACTAATCCCTCCGTGGGTTTCTCTTCTCTCCAAGAACGGGTGTTGTCTCACTAAAAAAGCACAGCCCAAAAAGAAGGATCCCCCCAAACGAACAAATCAAATTGATAAAATGTATGCAAAGCAAGGTGAGTTTAATCAGGATTCCCCCCTCCCCCCAAAAAAAAAGCATAAAAAGTACCCACCCCCCCACCCTTCCCCCCCCCCACCCCACCCCAAAAGAAGGAACAACCACTTTAAAAGGGCCACCTGAAATACGCATACGCTCCCATACGCTGTTGCCTGTCCGCTCCACACGCTCCCATACGCAGGCCTTGGTGGAGCTCTGCGTGGGTCTCGGGGAGTCTCTGGTGAGCAACGCTCCCGGGCGAGCGCTCTCCGCCAGCGTGGCAGGCCGCGAGCGCGGCTTGCGCTCGCCGGGTCGTCGGCTGGAGTTGGACGTCTATAGGTCTGGTTCATGGGGGCTGGGGGTGCTGTTTCATGGCAAAAAGGGGCGGGGAGGGGGAGGGAGGGGAGGGAGAGGGAGCTCAAGTAAGCCCTTGTTTAGCCCTTAAGGCCTTATGTAGGGCTAAACAAGGGCTATCTCCTCCCCCCCCAACCCCCATGATAGTTAGGCGGTTTTAAAGGGAAGCGAAAAGTAAACCAACTACCTAAAGGGCCCCAAAGACTTGCGAGTGTGCAATCGGTAGGGGATGAGAATTGGAAGATGCTGATCGCAATGATGATGCCAGGGATGCCTGATGATGATTGTCATCATCCCTGTCATCGTGACTTTCGTAGCATCTCCTGCATCCCCAGCGCAACGTCACAGCGATGCCTGCTGATGATTGTCGTCATCCGTGTCATCATGACTATCATCGTAGCTCCCCAGCGCTGCCTAACAGCGCAGATGAAATTTGTATAAGAATAATAATTTGGTTTCGATGCCGAAAATACGCAAGACGTTCGGCAATGCGGTCATGTCCTTCACGGGCACCGCCGGGAGCCAAGTACATGATGTGGCTCCGGACCCCGCCGCTGCCTTTTGCCGGTGGGCATACGGATGTCTGCCACACGCAAGTTTTGGGTCGTTGGCAAGTCTTAACTGCAACTGAGCAGTCTGTCCTAGAGGATAATTTTCCTTCAGGTAATTAGTTTGTAGCTCGTAGCATCTCGCGGGTGAAGTCGGTTTAGACCACCGAACATGGGTAGACTGTAGTTGGTGCTTTCTTGTTACTCACGAAGAATATAGTAAGAAAAGAAAGAGAAAACATGATGAGAACCATGATGATGGTGATGATGATGATGATGATGGTGGTGGTGGTGATGATGATGATGATGATGAATGATGAATGATGAATGATGTTTGATGATGATGATGATGATGATGATGATGATGATGATGATGATGATCATGATGATGATGATGATGATGATGATGATGCTGATGCTGATGATGATGATGATGATGATGATGATGATGATGATGATGATGATGATGATGAGGATGAGGATGAGGATGAGGATGAGGATGAGGATGAGGATGAGAACGCCCGGACACGGGCAGATTTCGAGGTGAAATGTGCCCCAAAAGGAACCCGACACCAGCTTATGCCAGGTGGGTAAACGGCCGAAGGGCATGCAGCAGCAACATGCGCAGCGCAGCGCCGTCTAGACTTGCACATCTCTCTCATAGTCTTGAGATTTTGTTTAGGTTAGCACACGCAAGAGCCGAAATGAACTACCCCCCCCTGTGTGCCTCCCCTTTTTGGCAGAAGGGGTCGGCGGATTTCTGAGACAGCACCAAGGCCGAACGTCAAGTGAATGAGCAAAGGTTAGTCTTCACTGTGGCGTACTGCAGCAAAGGGGCGCACATGGGGTACACTCACCCAACTACCATTGGGAAACGCGATGCGCTCAACAGAATCCGATGTTCTGTTGGGGGCACAATAAGCCTTGACCGTGGCTAATGTTCATATTTAGTGAGGCGGTCAAGTCGAAATTCAAAAGTAGGTGGCTTTTCTGGACAGCCCTGCGAACAGCAGAGATGTATGTGTTTGTTCGCTGAAACAGCCAAAGGAGCGAAACGCTAACAGCTGCATCTGAAGTGCCTACTGCGTTGAATTGCGTTGACTTCAACTTTGTCAATCATAGCTAAAAACCAGAATATGTCACGCTACACCTGAAAGACTCCGTGAGTAACAAGAACACATGAGAAAAACAATGAACATTTTTTGGCCATGCTAAAGTTGGCTCTTCTGCATACGGCACGCGTCGGGGGGGGGGGGGGTGACTGGTTATGTGGTCGGGGGGCGTCAGGGGAGTCCATCACCGTCCACGTGTTCCCCTCGAAGCCGGAGGGCGTCTTTGTGCCGGAAGGCCTTGGATGGGCCTGGCAGGGGGGGGAGAATTCCGTATGCTGGACACTGGTTCCGGTCTATTTTGCAACCTCCTTCGTTTGGGGTATTGATTTTGTTTAGGGTTCTTGGTTGCAACAATCTACTCTTGAGTGTCCATGGCACGGGGGGGGCTCCGCTTGTTTGCTTCGCCGGAAGCGCCCGAGGGGGGGAGTTCCCTTCGTTAGCTTCGTTGCATCTTTCAACGTTGCATGTGCCTGGTGATGCAGCAGACTGGTCATGCGGATGCGGATGTTGGAGGATCTGCGCGCCTGGAAGACGGTTTGCGCCGTTTTGTGAAAGGACACCCTTCCAAAGGTCATCCCAAGGCACCAAGAGGCATAAGGGAGTTGATGAGAAGGTCAACCACCTGCCCCGAGAACTCTGAGCTGATGAACAGGCAACACGCCCCCAAGAAGAAAGAAGCCTTCGAGTTCCTACTCCAAAATGTCCAACGTTTAAACTTTCAGGGAGCCTGGGAAGGCTACATGAAAGGGTCCGAAAAGCCTGAACTTTCATTCCTCCAAGCATTTGGAGGAGAAAAGGGGTTCAGAACCCAAAAAGGAGAGTGCTGTGTCGGTAGCTGACTTTGCAACCTTCCAGCACGCCGCCTCAATCATGGACCGTGGTCATAGCACAGGCCCACCCCCAATGCGCCCCTCGTCGAACATGCAGATATTCCGACAGTCTCGCAGCACTGTGGCGATGCTATTGGGGTTGTTCAGTACCATTCCTTTCCAAGTCGCCGGTTGTGATCACTATTCCTGGCCCCCAAATGACCACGAGTAACTTTTGCCATATGGGACATATCATGCTTGACCAGCGGTTTTCCAAACCAATGGTCATCCCATGTGACATGGGGACCTTTTGATCAACGTCGTTCCTTTCCCGTTCCCTATGCGGTTCGCATCCTCTTTTCAGCCGTTCCAGGCGGAACTGCCATCTTCCGATCTGACTCCAACGGCGAGGACGGGTGTCCCAAATACCCCCAGAAACGGACAGGCCTCCTCAGATGAACCACAATCCAAACCCTGGTAGATGAAGGTTAGCAAGGGATTCCCAAACAGATTGGTGCCTTGTAGTGCATGGGTTCTGGGTAGGCCAAGTTCGTACCAGGTTTTGAGTTTTGAACACCCAAAGGCGTCCTGTAGAAAACATCCACGTTTGCTTGAAGAGGTTTGCCTGCATTAGATCCAAGTGGTCAATCCATCGAGACTTGTGACAAGATTCGTTGACCTCGTTCCTAGCCTTGACATACTGTGCGCCTGTGTCTCCATATCCCTCTCGTGAAGGCTTGCAAGCCTTGTCGGTGTGTCTTGTGCTTTGCGTTTGCCTCGTCAATTGGTTTTTCTGGGGGCGCAAAGCGGATTCGACCGTGTGGAGTGGTTTGCCTTTTGGTTTCCTTTGAACCCTGAAAAAAACCTGGGTACCATGTCTACCAGTACAAAAGTGTGTGTCTTTTAGGGGTGCCCCTTTTTGTGGTTTGTTTAAGGGGAAATCACAAGAAACTGCTTACTTTAGGGGTTTGCCCCTAAAATAGAAGCCCAACATGTCTCCGCCCGCCCAGCGCGGTTTGCAGGACTTGGAGGGCTTTGCGGGCGCGGGGCTGTATGATTCGGTGACGGTGAAGGATTGCCACTTGCCCAAAGCCGCGAGCCGTGCCCAGGAGCCGCCGAAGCTTACCTTAGGTGAAATGGAGGTAAGGCTCTGCTTTTTTTGTTTTTCCTTCCGGCGATGATACAAACCTGAGCCACGAAAAGGTAGAGCAACACGTCATTAGATTTAGGGTGTTTCTGCAAAGGCTTGCGAGAAGATCTTTTCTCAAGGGCTGTCACTCGTGCTCACAACTTATCGCTGAAAATGACGGAGCGGCTTTCCAACATGTCATGCACTCTTCCTCAGAGCAAGGAAATTGTTTGGCATGACATACCCACCGTCCCACGCATTAGAGGACCATCTCATGATGTGCTCCGAAATCTTCATGCTCAAATATGTCGCGAACTGTGAAGCACCGCAGGATCTTCAATCTTGTTCATGCGGTGGGCACGCTTACAGCCCATGATCCAGTGTGCTTGCCACGCCGCCACAGTAAATGGGCGGTGCCCAAATCTTCAGGGGTTCTACCACCCGGTTTGAAGAGGGTTAAACTCAAAGAGCCCTACTGTGGATGGACGAAGTCCAGCACCACCTAGGAAACCTGGAAGGACAATTCCCCTGTAAATACCAACAAGCAATGGTTTCAACCGTGGTTTCAAATTGGATTCTGTCCATCCACAGTATCTTAAAGCCATGCCGATTCCACCAAAAGTGTTCCACCTTGCGGGCCCATCCTCGACGATGTTCCGAGGCGAGCATCGATCCATCGAGTACGCAGAGGACGGGACGGTTTTGGGCGAGTCCCAACGCTCTGGTTCTTGGCAATTTTCAAGCAAACATTGCGCAGGGCTCCTTGAAAGATACATGTTGCCCATTTGAAACATGGCATCTTCCACCAAAATAAGGGGAAACCACCATTGACAAGGCAATGTTCAGGTGTATATTGTAAGGATCCCTGTTGCAGTCATGGTCAAATGGGTGTGGCTCAAAATTAAACAGGAGTGGCAAACCGCAGGTTGTGGTCCATGTTTCCACTTACCAAGTCAAGCCATTTTGGGTACCGGTTTTCTGAGCCACAGCCAAATCTGCGTGCGGGTCGTCTTCTGAGGAGCCTCTCATTTTTGACTCCGCCTTCCGCTCTCAGCTCTTGCAGAAGCTCTTCCGCATCGGAAGGCGGAACAAGCTGTTGGGATTCTGTCGATGGCGGCAATTGGAATTTTCTGTGGTACTGTGGATGGTTGCGAAATCCAATTTGCACCACTTTGAAAGACGGTTGAAACCAAAACGTTTGCTAGGTATTCACAAAGGAACCATCAATCCTGGGTTTCTTAAGTGGTGCGAAATGGATTTCGTCCATCCACAGTAGAACAAACTTGCACCGCAAGTTGCTTTTCAGCTAGTATCCCACCGACCTACTGCTGTCAACGTTCCGTTGGACTCAGTGAGGGCCGATTTGAGTTGCAGACTGTTCTTGCAATGCGAGTGAAGCCTTTTGGTGCCAATCTGAGCCTCGTGCTCAGACACATCGAGAAGAACTTCAGTGGAAAGCCGCAGGACATGAACCAGCTCCCTGTTTGGTAAGCTTGGGGTAGACAAAGTCTGGAGAATGGATAACCAAATTGTCCCGTGCTCTCTTGGGTTCAAGAAACGCTTTCTTGCTTTTTGTAAGCCGAACATTGGCAAGGCCTTTCTGGGCGGCTCAGCGCTGATCCATGCCAAGTGTTTGAAGACGGCAGGATGCCTTGCGCTGCACACATCGTACAAACTCTGCAGGACATTGAAGGAGCCGTCACGGCAGATGGAAAGATTGTGGTGACCCAATCCCGGCCACAGGTTTAAAATCGTGCCTCGGCTTGATTTGCAGCACTGAGGTCAATTTCTGGGGCACGTGGTATTGGTAGCGCTTGGTTGACACTGAGGTCAACTTTTGGGCATGTGGTACTGGCAACTCCCCAGACAGGAGTCAGAATGAAGGGGCAACATCAGCCAGCCTGGTGTGAGAGAGAGAGAGAGTTGCTCAGGTGAAAAAAGAGACTGCAGCTCTGAGAGGCTGCAAATGTTCTAAGCATTTGATGCCGGAGTTGCTCGAACCTTCCCCCTATCCCACTTTGCCAGTTGCCGGAGAAAAAGCAGAAATATCTGAGAGCTTCATTAACCCTTCCGACTCTCCAGAAAACGGGCGGCATTTCTGAGGCTTAGGGATTTGCCCCGTACCGTTTCCGCAGTTCTTGGCTGTCCCAACGACGGATTGGCCCAGTTTCGCCAGATTGGCCAGCTGTGCCCTCAGCCTCAAGAGGAGACCAGATCGCTCTCGAGGCGTGAAACGCAACGAGTTTCTGAGGGCCCGGACAGTGCGGAAGTTCGCCGGCCTTGCACAAAGTTCTTCGCGGTTGTCCAAGTTGAGAAAAGGCCAGTCCCAAAAAAAGGCTGTGGGTCAAAAGTAGGTACCCAAAATGGCACCCAGGTAAATGGAAACAATGATTACAACCTGTGGTCCTCTGGTGGTTTAATTTTGACCAATGCTCGAATAGGGGAAGACATGCGAGGAACTTTGGACTGGCGCGGCGTCTCCTTCCAGCGAGAAAGGGACAAGCTGCGAGTCGAGTGTCCATGGATGGTGCTCAGGATGTGGCATTTTCTCCGGCTGTCCAGAAGGGGAACAGGTGGCTAAAGAACCTGGTAGCTTTAAATGAGGTTGTTTTTTTTCACCCTGTTGTTTTACCAAGAAAGCCGGTGGACATTATTTATCATGTGCGTGGGATTGCAGTCACGAAGGTTTGCGGAAGGGTTTGCATCGCTGAAGGTTTTGTTACAACAAAAGTTGCAAGAGAAGCCCAACGTGAACAGCGCTGTGGCCGCGGAAACGAAAGTCAGCAAGATATTCCCTTGGAAGGCCGCGGAATAAATTTGTGAGGGAGACATATTCAAGGATGTCAGTTCTGTGCACGCGGAGTCCGGCATGAGTGCTTACCACGTGTTTGGACAGTAATGGCTAAAGCGACATGTTTCGTTGTTGCAAGAAGTTCCGTGAGTTGAGTTCAGATGTTGGACTGATTCATTCTGATCATGCGTGAAGCTGCCTTGTCTTTGCCATGCGTTCTGTTCTTGGACATGTTGTTTTAGTGGAGCGCTTGGCAGCAGAATATGCACCTGCCAAAGTCGCAGGAACAGATGTGGGTATGGGTCAAAATCAAACCAGGGCACCGCAGCTTTTGGTCCATGTTTCCACTTCCCAGGCTTCCATTGTTGGGCACAGCCATGTTCGACCAGCCATGTGTCTGGGTGAAATCCACACTTTTTCTGGAGAGTGGACTTGGGAAGCTCGGGTTTGCGGACAGTTTCGGGGCGTCAGGTTTGTGGGTTGGCAGGAGGGGTATTCCTTGCTGGACCGCTGGTTTTTCTCGTCCGGTGCCCTCAAGGAAGCGGATCTGGCCCCAACCTCCCGGAGCACCATGCAGCTGCGACCGCAGTTCTTGGTTCCTGGAGGTAGGACGCAATTGCCAACGCGGGTGAAATACACAGAAGATGGTCAGAGTGCAGCGGACTCTAAGGCTCTAAAGCGCAACAAAAACAACGGCTGGACACAGCGAGCCTCTTGCTTGAGACCCTCCGCGTTGCAAAGCAAGTTGCTAAGCTGCGCAATGAATCTACGGTTTCCAACTCCAACTCCACCCCCAAAAGCCTGCTAAAAAAAAAAAAAACATAAACAACATTGAAGAATCCACGGATTAACAATTGAATTGATGTTTTCACACCTCTCTCGAGTCGTTGGGGTTCCAAACCCCGGGCTGCCCTGCGCGACGCTGGCCGCGGCGTCGCCTGCGACACCTCATCTAGACATTTCCAGGCCTTTTTATCTAGATGCCATGTATTTCATATGGGGTATACATCAGGGGCATCGAGTTTCTCGCAGACGAATGGGACGTTTCCCTTTGGCATTCCTTTGCAACAGTGCAGAGTTTTTCAGAAAGCGTGACACCCCCGCAGCTTCCTGTTCAGTTGCCGGCCAAAATTACAAGCCAAAGTCCCCACACCCACTATCTGGATGCGAAAAACAGGCCTCAAGAGTTTGTTTCGCAACATGATACAAAAAGGAGACGGGCTGTTATTATTTGTCCAGATCCCTTTTATGACACCTGGCTATGCCTGTCGTACGGTTCTAAGGCGTTGATTTATTCATGGACTGTCGTCATGTATGCCTGTGGGCATATCCACAACGCTGCCGAACTATATACCCGCGTATACAGCAGGGTGACCCCGGTTCGAATAGGTTCGGTTTCGAAGAACCTAACCCTTAGGCTGCTCGGTTCGGTTTTTCTTCGGTTCGGTTCGCCGGTTCCGGTTCCTGAAGTCTTGCGGTTCTTGATTGCACAAGGTTATTCGCATTCTTTGCTGTAGGTAAGCATATAGGGAAGCAATGCACTAGTCAGGAGGGTGGGCGGTCGTGTTCAGTTTTGGCCCTTCCCAAATGCCTACCTTGCAAGAGCAACAGCTGCAGCAGAAACCGCAGCAGCAGCAGCAGCAGCACCCGCCATCTTATTCGCCAACTTGGCCACGAAGGCCCGGCGCGGCAGGCTGAGGTCAGACGAGGTGGGGCGGCCTATCAAGTGCCATAAAGAACAAGTATGTGAACCACACGTAGCATGGCTGTTGTAACGCAGGCGGTTAGAAACCAGGTCTGAAACACGGCTCCCGGCAATCCGCTTCAATCAAGACTTTTTTGGTCAGACGGCAGTTTTTAATCTGTGGAAGCCGATCCATCCATTTTTCCACTGCTTCACACCTGTTTCAGGTGCCTTTTGTCAAACGCTGGCATGTTCGTTGACGAACGAAATTTGGGGATGTGTGCAGCAAAGGTAACCGGAAAAGGTTGTTGTCGCTTGAGGAAAAACTGCCCACATGGCGTGTCCCATCCTTGTTCTTGTTGCCCACGATTGGGGAGACTAGGGGGTCTGAAACGGCCTGAAACAGGCTTGAAACAGGGTGGGGGTCCATTTCCAACCTACCCCACCAATACTCTGTTCGGGCTGGTAGGGAGGCTACTGCCACACCAATCGGCGTTTGAATTGATGGGTTTTCTGCAAGGATGAGCAGCCCCCCGGGCGGGGGGCTGGAGGTGCGTTCTGAGTCGCACCTTGTTTCAGGCCAGTTTCAGACCCGTTCAGGGCTAACATTTTGATGGTTGTTTGCATTGACTTTAGCAGCTCGCGCTTGGTGCTTGTGACATGAGGAGCAATGCTGCTCGGTTCCTAGTCCCAAGTGAAAGGTGCAGTTCCCCACAACGCTTGTGCAGAGCAGGTCAGGTTTCGACCTTATGTCCCCAACTATCTTTGTAGAAGGGAAAGGGCTCTTGCAGGTAGCGCTGCATGTTTTTGACTTGTTGTGACTCATTGTGTCCGTGACGCTTGCCGTCAGTCTCCAGTTCCGGGTGAAAGGCGGGCCGTCTTGGCAATTCAACCTTTTGTGTTTGAAAAGGTTCAGTTCCCAAGATGAGAGGCAACCGCCTGCCTGATCCAGGATGGGAAGATGATAATTCAAGCTTGGACGAAGGGTATATCATACAGCCTCTGGAGGATTGATGCCCAGGCCAACGGGTTCATTTACGTTGTTGGCACGTCGCCTGGGCCACCCATTTGGGCAAAGCGCCGCACAGGCGCTAGGTGGGGCGATGCTTCCTGCAAGCTGCAGCAAGCAGCAAGCAGCTGACAGGTCAACCACGGTTCGGTTTCCCACGGTTATCACGGTTCGAGTCCTGTGCCGCGGTTCGGTTCGCGAACGGTTCGGTTCCACGGTTCAGGTTCCGCGGTTCTCGGATCGATTCAGCGGCCATCCTGATACAGTTGCAATATAGCTTGAAGGTTGGGGGCACAACCCCGCTACACCTTAAGGTGACGGATGACATTTAGCCCTCATAAGAAACGACAAATTGAGCGTCGGGTCTTAGTTTAGCTCCCAGTCGAGGATTTCATGTGTCGCGGTAAAGAAGCGCCATGGCCGCGGCGGGCTTGGCTCCGAACCTTGGACTCTTTTGTCCACCTTTGGGTCCAGCTTGCCGGGCTCCGGAGGAGTCGGGTCCAATCGAACTGGAAGTCTTATGCGAGAAGTTGCTCTTCGCAGCCCTGAGCCGGTCATATGAAATCCCCCGCGGATCTTTGGCGCCAGAAATCAGCCAACTCTTCCAGTTGCTGCTGCGGAATCTGCAGGAAGGCATCGAGGCCTTGCGCTTGCTCGCTTGCATGAGCTCGTTTCGCTCCTGCTACGGCAACTCCACCTTTGGCCGGCCCTGGCGTCATCTCCGGTCCTTGGTGAAGCGGGCGTCTTCGGCGCTGGTCTCTGCCGCCGAGGGCATCTTCGGCGCGTATGGCGTGCCATTGAACTTGGTGGAGATCCCGCGACCTGCGGCGGAGATCGGCGGACTGCCCGAGATCTTCGACGGGGTGGAGACCTTCTACCGCGCCTTCGAAATGGCATTCGATCCCATCATGGGAGACGTCATCCCTCAGGTTCTGGAGAGGAAGAGCCGTTTCTTGGTATAGTTCTCCCACATTCCCTGAGTTGTTTTTGGTGTAGTGTGGGGTTTTCCATGTAATCCTCCAAAGTTCGTCACCTTTAGCAAGGATCTGGGAGCAGCTCAGGTTTGGATCGCCAAAGTCGAAGCTTGCGAGTCTATTCCCCAGATTTCCCCCCCGAGGCCATGGGGACTCAACTCTGGCAGCGGTACCCAGACACCTTTGCGCCAGCGTGCTCCTCGCAGCTCGATTGCGTTAAGCGCTTGGACAATGAATGTGTTGGCCCGGCGGATTTCTTGGTGGCCTTTGATTGAGGGGTAGCAAAAAGAACGAGGTGCGTTTTTTCAAGGAGCTTTAGCTTTTTGGGAGGGGCCCCAGTCTGACCGCTTGGCGGAGGCTAAGGCCCAAAAGAATCCCAGTTCGTGGCAGGCCGGGATCTGTGCACCAGAGAGGCCAAGCTCGCGAAGGCATCTTCGCCTACGACATGTCGGGCCTGCGGATGGCCCATCGTACGGTGGAGGAAGCCTTAGATGAGATCGCGAAGGCAAGGATTGACTTGTCCTTCCAGCTGGTGAATCTTGGTGGTTCGGACGCGAAGCGTCCGGTTTTTTTGAATGTTTCTTCTAGCCCTGCTTTTTGTCTGCTCGCAGCCACCACTGTCGTTAAGGACGGTCCCCGCTAAATACAAGGCAACAAAAGAGACAACTACCACTACCCCAGCTGGTTCCCAGTTGTCCCGTGAGGTTTTTAGTTGTTTTTAGCCAGTTTAGTGATTGGGTTTCACAATTTTCACCCACAAGTTAGTCGCTTTTAGCCGGGGAATTGAAAACGGACAGCTGAGGAATCTGGGGGCCATGGATGGCAGATGTAGCGGTGGACCATCCACCGACCCTGCAAACTGCCTGCTCCAAGGCTCGACTTTGTTCAACCGCTCTTGGGGCGGAGTCGTGGTTGAGGCCAGTCCGCCGGCGATTCTCTTCGAGCGCTTTGGTGGCCGAAGCGACATTGCGGTGGTGCCCCTGCCCGTGTTCCCCGAGAATGCTTCGGCCATTTTCGGCTACGGCGTCGAGGCACCTGCAGGCAGCGCCAGCCTGGATCTGCTGAAGATCGATCTGGACTCCTTCGATTGCGACATCGTCGCCACCATGCTGCGCATCGGGCCGCTGGCCCAAAACCCGCCCAAGCTGCTGTACATCGACATCAACCCCCACATCCCCCCGCCTTTCCTGTACAGGACAGGGCCCATAGATCACACAGTTCTCCCTGGAAGGAGGTCGCAATCTTCTCCAAATCATAGGCACACCCTGACCTTCAGATCAACCCCTCTTTCTGTGCCCAAGGTGGCATTCCTACATTTTTCCTTGGGTGTGGTTTCCTTGTGGGAAGATGCGGAAATGATTTGCCTGTGCAAGACAACAAGATGTACACGCCCACAGGGCCCATAACCATTGTATATCATTGAGTTCTCTTTTCCACCACCGAACAAGGATCCTCCTTCTCGCGTCCCTGGATGTTGGTCCTGATCCATGTTTTTCGACTTCAGGATGGTCCTTTGTATTGTTGCATGCTGCATGCTTCCTGAGTATCCCGTACATTAGGCCTCACATCCAAGTGGGCTGCATCCCGAACTCGAACCACATTGGCAACCTCAGTTGGTTTGGAGCCCCCGTGGATTTGGATTTGAAGCCCTTATCACCACCCAATCTCCAAACCACCGAGCTCCAAACCAGCCAAAAAGGGAGGGAAGCCAATTTCAACAGAGTTTTGGTTTCGGTTTTGGTTTCAGGACCATGTCCACCCCAATTTGTTTTGAAGAGCGCCACCCCCAACGAAAACACCGCTAGCAAAGGATGCATTTTCCAATGAGGCTCGCTTCAGGCGGGTTCCGCCCAGTTTGTCATTTTTTCCGCGTTGAAGATGTTGGCACCATTTTCCTCCAAAACTCTTCCACCGACCGACCCGTTGGGCCCGCAGTGGAGGACCATTTCCACAATTTCTCTGAAGGGCTCTTCACCCATCCCCAACTTGAAAAGTGGGCTTCGGCTGCGTTCCAGGACCATGTCCAGCCCACTTTTCTTTCCTCAACTTGTCTGAGTCTCAGCACTTGGCCCCCCGTTCAACTCCAAAAAAACTCTTCTACCAACCCCCCTTGGGGCACCTTGCCGTCAGGACCATGTCTCCTTGATCTAATCGTTTGTTGTATCGTTTCGTTTCGGCGTTCGGTCGCCAGGACCATGTCCAGCTCGCAGAGTCGCATCATCCCCTTCCAGGGCTCCTCGCTGCAGTGCTTCCTGGAGGCGTCGAACGCCGCCTTTCGGCTGCTGCACGTGGAGCTCTTCAACGCGGTGCTGGTGCGCCGGGACTTGGCAGAGACTCGTCCGGAGGTGTGCACGGCAAGTCTTTTTCCCGGGTGATCTTAAGGTGGTTTGTAGGGAATTCTCAGTTTGTTTTTTTGGTTGCTTTTAGTTGGTTTCTAAACCTTAGTGTTTTTTCCCCGCAGATTTTTCGGTTGAGTGGTTTCGTTTCCATTTGGCACTGCTCGGCTTTAGAGCAGGGATCTGGGAGCAGCCCAGTGAAGGGGCATCTCCATTTCTGGGGCTCGGTTTAAAGGAAAACCAAGGCGTTTTGTGGTTCTGAAGGCACCCCACCACCTTTTTGGGGGGCCTAAACGAAGACTCGCCAGAAAGGGATTCTACATTGTTGGTTGTTTTCAGGGTTTGGTTTTGGTGGTTCTTCGGTTTAAGCTTCCCTTTTGGTAGTCGAGTTGGTGCTGGACCCCTGGTGGATTTTAGAGTGTGTTTTTTGAAGGATGCCTGTTTGGGGCGGGTTTGCAGGGAAACCAAGCATTTTTGAGGGGGGACCTCCTATTTTCACACCCAGCTCCCTCTTTGTTTGTTAGGGTTTAGCCCTGGTGGTCCCGGGTTTGAAGGTTTGGTTTCTGAAATGGTAGATCAACAGTCGGTTTCCTTGAAGCCGTTGTAGGGAACCCAACATTTGGTAACATGGCAAGGGCTTCTGTCTTGGGCCCCTTGTGAGCATGGTCTCCACGAAACCACTTTTTGGGGCTTCCCTTTTCTTTCCCTTTAACCCAGCATTGGCCGCCCCTAAGGTTTGTTAATTTGCACAAAGCAATAACTGGATGTTACCCGATGTCACTCTGGATTGAGGACATCTTCCCGGAGATCCAGGGCGCCCGAGCCTTCGATCAATGGGCCGCCGGCTACTTCTGCCATCCGCTGGCGCGGGTGCTTTGGCACCGGGAGCGCATGGTTCGCTGGGCCGGCACGGACCCCCGGGTCTGGGCGGATGAGCGCCTGACCTTGGCGCAGCGAGGGGAGAGTCTGCTGCAGACATTGGGCCGCGTGAGGCTCCAAACCCCGACTTTCGAGTTCTCCTTGACCTGGTGAAGCCCGAAGCGCGCAACAAGCGGACCGGACCCGGAGTTCCGAAAGAGGCCAAATGAGTCAACTTGTATTTTTAATGCTGTCTCCAGGCAAGCTCTGTAATACACAATTATTATTATTAATTATTATTGTTATTATTATTATTATTATGTATAATTAAATTAACGTCTTATTAGTTTGAATAAAATTTGATATTTAATATACTGATTGATACATATATACATATTAATTGATTAATTAGTGATTGATATGGTTGTTTATTATATATAAATAATTATATTAGTTAATTAATGAATAATTATTGAATTTAAACAAATATGTTGGATGAATTTGGGTGAATAATTTGAATTATTTGAATATGTATTATTGTATTTATATTTTTTGATTTTAATATAGAAATATAAAGAATAAGATATTGAAAGAATAGGCATGTTTTTCTCTCTTTTTTTTTTCGATTTAATGTTTTTTTGTTATTCATTAAGACGAATAATGAAATGAGGAAAATATATATTGATGATGAATGAAGGAATATCGTTCCTTTTATTTCCAAGGTTTTACATAGTTAAGTAGAAGGAATGGAATGTATGGAAGTGAAAGAATACGAAGAGAAAGATAAAACGAATAGATTAGTTAAGAAGAGAGAAATGGTTGGTGAATGATATATTTTTCATGTGTATGTGTGTTTTTTTCCTTCGTTGCTTTCGGTTTTTACGACATGAAGAACGAAAAGATGAAGAAAGGAACTAGATAGAGAGAGAAAACGAAGGAAATTTCTTTTTTATTTTATTCGTTTATCTTTTTATTCGAATGTTCCGGAGGAAGTAATTAAACACTAATTTAAAAAAAAGGAAGGAATTTGATTTAAGCATAAGGTTGAGGCCATTTCGTTCTTATTAGTTAGGCTTTGTTTAGGTATTGAAAAGAGATGTTTTTCTGTTCATTCGTTTCTTTTTTTTATTTGGATTTTTGTTTGTTTTTTGTTTTTTTTAATGTTTTAATGTGTTTTTTGTTTATTATTTGTTTGTTTTGGAAGTATGGGAATAAACATAATGACAGATGAACGGAATGAATGGAAAAGAAATGATGATGAATAGGGATGTTTTTCTTTTATAGATTCTTGTCATTCTTTTTCCGAGCTTTTGGATATCATATTGTCATATTGTTGTATCTTCTGAAGATTAAATAATAGGAAAGGGATGACAAGGGAGAGGATGGGATAAGGCCTCTCTTCTCTCTTTTCCTCGTTATCTCCTGTCTATCGTTTGCTTTGGGAACCGAACGGAGAAAGGATAAGGAACGAGGGAAAAGAGATGGAAGGAGAAAAGGAATAGATAGGAAAATAATTATATTGTAAATGAAACGAAAGGAAAAGAGATATACCTCGTGCAAATAGTTGACAATGGAAAAAAGGATGAATAGAAAGGTGAAGAACCGAGGAGATATGCCTTTATTCGTTATAATAGATTAATTCACGAATGAAGAAGGTAGTGGGGAAAGATGGTGATAGGAAAGTGAGAAAGGATAGAGTGAATAGACGAGTGAAGGATTAGTGAATGGTGGAAGGTAATAATAGCCTTTTTTTACCATTAATCGCTATTATTACCTTCCTTATCTCTCTCTCTATTCTTTGTTTTCCTCGTTTTTTTTTATCTTTAAGTCGTGAATTAGATGGGTGATGAGACGAGCGGGAGGAAATAGATCGGTTGGTTTCCTCTTCTTTTTTTTACTTCGTTTTAGTCGTTACACGTGGTCTGTGTTTGTGGGCATTATCCGTTGATTCGTTTTTTAGCGGTTAATAAAAGGCTGGATGAGCACATGACCACATTACACACCGCCCGCTCCTTCGCTATTTCTTCTTTTCCAAGGATTAGGAATGGGATGAGAGACCGAGCGTAGCGAAGGGAACGGAGAGAAATTGAATTAGATGTTGTTTTTCGTATTGCTCGCTCTTATATCGTCTTTGTTCTCTTTTTTTTTTTCTCCATTGCTTCGTTATTCCATGCCGAACGAAAAGAGGAGAAGGAATAAGAGAGAAAGAAATAGATTTTTGTCCGTTGTTCTTTGTCTTTTACCACGGGCTTTATTTTTTACTCCTTTACGCTTTATGTCTTACCTTTGGGAACGTGTAATGACGAATGAAACGAGGAAGAGAGTGGATTGATCGAGTGATGGCAGGAAATGATATGAAAAGGAACGGGAAAGAGGTGGCTCTATTCAAAATCCTTTAATTTATCTTCTCTTTATTCGCCGCTACTTGGAATCTTTATGAGATCGATGAGAAAGAAAGGAGATAGATGATTGACGAGAGGAACTAGGAAGGAAACGAACGAATGAATTTATTCTTTCTCTCTTGTTAGTTATATTCTGAGATTTAGCGAGTAGACGGAATGGATAGGACGAGCAAAAGGGGAAGGGTTTAAGATTCGTTAAGAGGAAAGAGATGGTGAGGAGGGAGATAGAGAGGAGGAGAGAGATTTATCGTGTAATTATATATTTTATTTGTTATTTTTAATTTATTGTTTGCTATATTTTATGATTTTGTTTGTTGTTATGAAGGAAATAATAATAATTTGGAAGGAAATGATAATATTATGTTTTTTTCTTTTGTTTGATTTTTGTTTTTTTTTTTCTTCGTTTTGGTGGTTAATAATTTATTTTGTTTGAAATTAGAGGAAATAGATGAGAATATTGATGGGAATAATGATTGAAACCTAGGGGGGGGGGTATTTTGTTTTTTGTTATTGTAGTAATTATTGTTTTTTTTTCAAATTTATTTGTTTTGCTAGTTTTATTTAATATCTTTGTTTTTATTATAGTGTATTTTTAGGAATTCTTGAATGTTAGAAGGTTATTGATTGGAGATATATAAAATCGTTAGGAAGGAATGATTTATATTGAATGAAGATTAATTATTATATAATGAAATTATTTAAATAGGAGAGATAAATATAATATATTTAAATGATTTTTGGATTTTTCGTTTATATGTATTTAGATATTGTGGTTTTATTGTTTGAATGATTTTATTTATTTCTTATTTTTTTTATTTAATAAACGAAATTAAGAATATAGTATGAATGATTTATATATATATATATTTATTTCTATAAAATTATTTAGTATATTTTGAATTTTGCAAATTCTAATTAATAAGAAAGATATATTATTCGATTAAACAGGAATATGGAATATTATAAAAATAGAATACAATATAGGAAAATTTTAATTAACGATTTTGAGAATATGATTATTTCGTTATGTTGAAATTATTCGATTATTTATAATTTATTTGTGGTAAATATTATGTTTTTACATATTTAATTAAATTGTATTTAAAGAATATATATAATTTTAATATATATATATATATATTTATGAGGAAAAAATATATTTATATAATTATCATAATCACCGATTATAATAACATAGTTTTTCTGTTCAATAAAAATCTAATATAAATCTCACAATATATTCCCTAAAAATCCTTCTTAATAAAATATATATAAATTATCATATTATTAATATATCAATTGTAATAAATATCTAAAATATCTTTTTTAAATATATTTATTCTTTCTAAAAACATATTATTGAAATAAAACCTAATCAATGCTCCCAAAAATCAATAAATAAATATATAGAAATCATCCCCTTCCCAAAAACGAATCTTTATAAATATTTAAGTCACTTCATAAATTAAAGATTAATATATTCCCAAAAAGGTAAATTATATATATATATTTAATGATTACCAATGACCTATTTAATCTTATGATGTAATTATATATAAATCGAGATATATTTTGGTTGGGATAGGGGGTAATAATCTCGTGAATTACATATGTGTTTTCTTTTTTTTTAAAAAAAAAACAATTAAATTATAATAATATATTAAATATATTAATAACATGCTAACAATAATCTAGATATGTTCAATACATTATATATATATTATTAATTTAAATATAATTTATTCTTAAATAAGAATTGTTATTTTATATTAGGTTCTATTTACATAATATACAAGATTATAAATTTCAAATATAAACCATATAAATATAATAAAAAATCATAAGAATATCAAATTTAATATTATTTTAATATAAAAAAAAAGGAAAAATATTCAAATTTAATCATTATAGTATTATATTAAACTAATTAAAATAAATATAAATTATATATATTAAATATAAAAATTCTATAATATATATATTATATAAATTATAAAAATTAAATATATATATAATATATTAAATTCTATTAATCTATAATTAAATATAGCAGAAAACCCATTAATTCCATCAATAACACTTTCAACAACAAAAATCAAAGAAATAAGAAAAAGAGAGAACAAAAAAAGAAAAATAAATAATCTTTAAACAAAAAAAAACAAAAAACAAAAAAAAAAAAAAAACAATAAAAAAACGAAAAAACAAAAAAAACAAACTAACATAGAAACAAAACAAAACCAAAGAGAGAAAGAGAGAAAAAGCAAAAAGAGAGAGGAAAAAAATAAGAAAAAGAGAAAGAACAAGAGAAGGAGAGAAAAAAAAAGAGAAAAAAAGAAAGAGAGAATAAAATAGAGAAAAACAAGAGAGAGAGAGAGAGAGAAAGAGAGATCCGTAACAGGAAGAATTATTATTAGCGAAAATGCCCGAGGTGGGAGCAATCTCTCTCTCTCTTTCTCTCTCTCAGAGAAAAAGGAAGAGAGAGAGAGAGAAAGAAAGAGAGAGAGAAAGAGAGAGAGAAAAAGAGAGAGAAAGAAAGAGAGAGAAAACAAAAAAAAGAAAGAGAAAAAAAGAGAGAGAAAGAGAAAAAGAGAAAAAGAAATAGAAAAAAAGAGAGAGAAAGAGAAAAAGAGAAAAAGAAAAAAAAAAAAGAAAGAAAAAAAAAGGGAAAAACGAGAGAAAAAAAGAAATAAAAAGAGAGGAGTAACCAAACAAACAAAAATAATAGTATAAATAATCATAGTCAAAACGAACATCAAAACAAAAAAAGATGCGACACGTAACAACACCCGACCCACAAAAACAAACGCAAACAAATAGAAAGATAAAGACAGAAACAGATATGGTGGTTGTTCTAAATTCCTTTGTCTCGAAACGGCCATTCTTCGCGAATTAAAAAGTTAATTTCGCGAATCTTTCGCGGATTCATCGCCGTGCATTTTTCATTGCTCAAGTTGGGAAGTTGTAATTTTTAAGTACCGGTTTAGTACTCAAAATAAAGTCACAACTTTTCATCAAAAGGGTAGTATATGACATGCACTTCCGACTCCAGCTGGAAATTCGCAACTTTTCAGCACCAGTACACGAAATGCACTTCCGCAGTTCCAGCACGAAAGCCGCGCAGCCCCAGCTTGAAGTTGCAAATTTTCAGTACCAAGCTAGTACTCTGACTAGCGCGGCGCTTAGAAAGTACCTCCCCTTGCAATCGAAGCCTGCGCTTTCGCGCGGGCTTTCGCGGATCTTTCGCGGAACTTTCGCGAAACATCACTCACGTTTCTAAAGCCACCGACTAACACCCGCCCACCTGGAGCACTAACCAGCGAAGCAGGGTATCAAATTGTAGCATCACCAAGCTTTATTAGGGGACAAACAACAAAATGTTTTAATCAGCTTAGAAAGAAGATTCAACAGAAAAGATGAGTGTTTTCACATAATACTGATTCTCAAGATGCAGCTACGCAAAACTTTCGCGAACAAAAAAATTACTTTCGCAACTCCATCGCGAATCTTTCGCGGAGCTACCTCAACCAACACCGATGGTCACCGAATACTAAACTCCTTACAAGGACCTTTAGAACGACTCCCATATACACAAACATTACCAAATAAACCGACGCAGACACGCGAAAATAAACAGAGAAACACAAAAAAAACGCAAAGAAATAGAGACGAACGACAAATACGGACTCATAAAGACAAACAAAGACAAACCGAGACAATCCGAGAGACAGAGAGACACAGACAAACAGATAGAGATAGAGAGGCGCAACCACCAAAGATAAACAAAAAAAGACAAAGATTACGAAATAAATAGATATAGACATACCGAAACAAACTAGGTAGGATACACAAAGAGAGGCAAGGATACGAAGACACCCGGCACGAAATTTTCGAGAAATTTCGACTCGAACAGGTCCCCAAATTTCCCGCAATTTGGCCCGGCAAAAATTCTGAAGAAATTTGTGGGGCTAACGTCCGGAAACCTAAGTACCGCGTCGCCGGAAGCGACCCAGAAAATTTGGCTGGGTTACGCCGCAGACACTCTAAATAAAATTATTAAGAAAAATTATCAAAAATATCCCCGAAATTTCGGCAAAATTTCGGGGCCTTCCGAGCAGCCGAGAGCTTGTGCCGCGGAGAAAAGACCGAAACAAGCGTAACCATTCGCCACAAAGCACTACGATTCGCCGGAATATCACTACAACGACTTGCCAGTACACGAGAAATACGACCTCGAGGCCATACCGGTTTATAAGCGAATTTTCAATATTATATAAAATTATATGTTTTCGAAATATATAAAATATTTATTTATAATAATAATACAATAATATAAACATATATATTATAATAAATAATAAATTAATAATATGTATTTAAAATCATCCAACCACCCCAAAACCTAACTAAATTCAAACCCCAAAATATTCAATAAGTAAAATATTATAAAAAAATATATAATATTCTTCTTGCCCATAAATATAACATGATTAACAAAATCACAAATCAACCAAAACCAAACATAAATTCCTAATTTCCATTATCAATCTAAAAAAAAAAAAAAAACAAAATATCACAACTTAGTCAATTATATAACCAACATATATATATATATATTCATTATTCATATAATATATTTCCTAAACAAAACAATAATTATAAATAAATAAATATATTAATCATAATTCGAAATATATTAATATAATTACAAATTTGAAAATAAATATATATATATATATTATATAAAAAAATAATATATTTCCTACCAATCAATATCTATGCCAAATAATTTCTTGTGAAGCACAATAGGGGCCCGAAATATTGCAATTACCACACAATCGTACACCCATGCTCACCAAATACTGCCTGCGATACGAAACCTGCAACGTCAAGTCACAAAGCGCCTATCACAGAAAACGGGTGTCCCGAAGCCTGCGCAGTACAACACCGAGTCCCTTTAAAGAGCAGTGAGTGCGCGGGACTGAATGGGTGAATGAATCAGTTTAGATGCGTGAATGTGGCTCACTCAGAGTGAGAGAGAGTGAGTGAGTGAGTGAGTGAGTGAGTGAGTGAGTGAGTGAGTGAGTGAGTGAGTGAGTGAGTGAGTGAGTGAGTGAGTGAGTGAGTGAGTGAGTGAGTGAGTGAGGGAGGGAGCGAGCGAGTGAGTGAGTGAGTGAGTGAGTGGTTGAGTGAGTGTGAGAAAGAAAGAGAGTGAGTCATTATACTTCAAACCTCGAGCCAAAAGGAAAGGGCGAGATTGCATTCGTGTTTGTGGCTTCTATCAGGTTTTATTTGGGAAATTTCCGATCACCGTCTTCATTCAAAAGCTAAAAGCACACTATATCTTGGAGAAAGCGAGTAATTTGACATTCATTTTGTGAATTTGTGTTTTTTGCTGGATTGGATCCGTAACGACGCGCGCACACGTGAAAAAAAAGGAGTTGAGCCGGGTGGACCTGCTGAAAGGTGCTCGGCGGATCCTTGCTTGAATTAGATGCCTCTGTTCTGGGCCACTTCTGCCACATAGCGCGGGCTTCTCTCCAGTTCCACGGAGCTGTCGGAGTGCTGGTCCCCCCTGAACGAATGACGAGTTTTGCGTGAAAGATGCAAAGGCCAAAAATGGGACCTCCAAACAATAGGGGCGCAAAGTGCAACCTGGCAAATGCACAGGAAACCTGCAGTCAACTGGCAAGATCAAAATCCGCGAATCATGTCCAACCATCTGGGGTGGTTTTTGCTAGACTTTTCCAAGAAGCAAACACGCAAGCCCCTTCTTTGGGTGAAAGAACAAGAGTCTCGTTTTTCAGCACCCGCGCAGGCGTTGAAGGAGTTTCTGAACTCCCACGGGTTGCCTCGCATTTTGAGTTCCAAAACAAAAGGTTGGACTTGACAACTCTACAAGAACCAGTGGTTCAAATCCCACCATGAACCCAAGACACAAATTAGTGAGGAACTCCGCAAAAAAAAAAAAAAAAAAAACAATAGAAAGGGTGACAAAGAACAGAAGCGCATCATAAGTATACAATGACGTAGCAATGCAGGATTGATCATTCTCCGTTCGCTTTTGGGAGGGGATGGCCCAGAAGGGGTTCCTTGGTACCTTCTGGGGATGGCTTTCGGGGGGGTCAAAACTTGGACCCTCTGGGTTCCATTCGGATTCGCCAGTTGCATGTTCCGACTCACGCTCAATATGAATCTCATTGCATCCAGGGCGCTTCATTTCTTGCAGCGTCCTTACTTGCACATTCTTTCGGGCCTTCTCAAAATATGGAGAAACAAAAACAAAACGATGGTCTTGAAACAACATAGAAAGGCTCCGGGCGTTTTGACCCCACCCCCCCCCCCCACACCGAAATTGAAGTCTAGTACATCCAGGGCACTTGAAGCTAATTAGACCAGGGGACCGCTCGCAAAAAACGACTTGGCTAGTTGAAGAGATTATCAAGGAATACCAAAAAAGGAACAAGCGAAAAGTAAGCTAAGCCTCGCAATAAGTGCTAAGAAATTAATGAAAACAAGTCACCCTCCATTTGCGAATGCATTCCCTGCAAAAAATAACACATCTCAGGCTCCTTCTAGAATCAACAGGGCAAGCAAAACATCATATTTCAATGCAACCGTTTTCACATTGGCCACCGAATCCACCAGTTGGGTCGGGAGTCTTCTGCCGATCCTTCAAATGATGGAGCTCTAAGGCGTAGACGTCGGCTTCTTTCACCTGGTTGTGATGTGGCGTGTTGTCCACACCTCAGGCCGCGTTTGAAAACGCGCAACTGAAATTGACATCTCCCAACGGCTTTTGACCGCAAAACAAGGGCCTTTGGTTTCTGGTTTCGGGTCCATATTCTGAGGTTAAACAAAATGTGACATCACAAACACTGCCGGACATGTCAATCCTTTTGGCCTGAAGACAGCCCCGAACTTGAGACGCCTTTCGGCCCCATAGGCCCCAAGGGCCACGAGCGCCAAATGTGGGCCCACATTTTGGCAACACACTGCGAGCCCATCGAAGCGCAGACCTGGAATTTCTATCACGAATCTCATGTCTTTCGAGGAACTTTCCTCAAGGGCCCTTTTCGGATTCCTTCGGATTCCTTCTCTTCATTTGTGGAGTGGCCGGACACTTGAACTTTCTTGAGCGCACCCTCCACACTTTAAGGAGTGGTGGGGGTGCTCCATTCCTTTTTTTCGATTCTAGTTCCTACTCCCCGAATTCAATTTTTTGGTGCGAAGGGATGTGCCCTTCAAGCTACATCCAAGCGAAGGAGAGCTATTTGTCGAAACTACCCTTGTAGATCCTTGCAATCCGTCGATCTCTCAAGGCTTGATGAGCTTATTCATCTCCCGCAAAGGGCGGTTTGTTGAAATCGGCATGTCAGCATGTCAGAATCCAAGGCGCAATAATACATCCGCAAGGGCGGAAGGTGGCGGAAACACCGCATATTCCTTGCTTGGTCATTGCAAATGGGTGTGGCTTGCGTCATTTCGTCAAACGGAGTCCTTTTACTCACAAACAAAAATCACGAAGCATACAAAAAAGAAATGTCTGCGTCTTTCAGTCGCCAAGATTCCGGTACATCTGCAACATGAGGCCATCCATGAATCTGAGAGTCACCTTCCAGAGGACTCCAAAGATGGTCAAGGTGCGCAAGAGGTAGAGGAAACTAAACCGCGCCAGCTTTCCGTGCAAACTCACCTGAAGTTGGCGCAAGGAAGGACTTGTAGTGGTAACCTGAAACCAGGAGGGTTACTATAACACCTATGATGTTTTACCCAGCAGTAGAGGTTAATGTAAGGGCCCCGCATGGCATTCACTGGGAGATCAGACAGGATAGTTACCAAGGATGATTCTAGGTCTCACTAGAATCCCCTGGTCAAACCAGGACCGCCACCCCCCAACAGCAATCAGCTCTCGGGTGACCCAGCGACCTCCTCGTTTTTAGGCGCCTGCAGTTGGAGTCCTGCGTGCCGCTCCACGTCTCGGAAGTTGGGTTCTGGCTTGTTCCGAATGTGTGTGGTCCTGGGCTGCGGAACTGTTGAGGTGGACATCTGGGACTTGAATGAACTGGTCCAAATGTCCAGTGAATTTGAAGAGACCACCCCCTCCAAAAGCGCAAAAAAACCAAAGGGGTGTCCGGTGCCTTCAGCTCGAGAGTTGCTGGGGCTGGTTTTATCTTGGGAAACATTTTCATGGACCAGGTTGGAGCCGTCTTCGCTGGGGCCTTGAGGCTTGACTTCGGCAAGCAGGCAACCAGAACCAGCCCTCGCCAAACTCAAAAACTGGTCCCGTTTGCTAATGGGCACCCCGGATTAATAAACCCCTGGTTGATTAATAGGGGGTGCCCCTGTTTTAGTGGAGAGTCCTCACTATAGGTGCGCACCCCCCTCTTAATCAACCGGTTTCTTACTCCGGTGTCAACAACTTATGCTCCGCGTGTTTAAAGCACGGCGTCCAGGCGTAGTCGCTCATTCTGCGGAAGCTGACGACGTAGCGATTCTTGAGGCCCCAGGGCCACCTAAGTTGCCCACGGGTTTTTCGGAGAGAAGCTGAACTGAGGCCACGAATTAAACGTGGACCAACAACTTACCACTTAAAACTCCAAG